GGGGGTGTATGGTTTTGCCTTGCAGCACATCAGAGAGAAGCAGAAGTGGCCCGTTTGTCCCTGCCTTGGAGTGGGATGTGGTGTTCCCCCGGCGCAGGCAGAGCCCCCCCGTGCTCCGGGGGGAGTGCGGCGCCTGGTGGAGAAGCTGCTGATTTGGTGGATGTCACCACGGCTCTGTGGTGTGGCTGCATCTCACCTCCTGGGAAGCTTAATATCCATCCCCAAGGAGAGCAGAAACCGATCGTCCGTGTCGGATTTATTCAGAATGGGAGAGGTTTGAGATTAATGTAGCAGAAGGTTGTAAATAACGTTACTTCGCAGCAAAAAGTAGTTGTTTGCTTGTTTTTATTCACTTGTTCTCTGTGTTTTTCTTTTGATTTGCAGTGAGATAAAGAGAGAAAAGCGAGTCCCTTCACCGGATGTTATAGTATTATCCGACAATGAACCTTCTAGCCCTAGAATGAATGGTTTAACAAAAATAGCATTAAAAGAGACCAACACAGAGGCACTCATGGTGAGTCTTCTTGTCTTGACACACTTTAAGCTGTGCCGTCTTGAAAGAAGAAAACACACTGCTTGTTCCCGCAGAGGCACTTGTGATCACAGGGGCAGGGGGATACGTGGTTTTATAAAGATGGATTTGCAAGGGGAGAATCTTGAGGCTGTTAAAGGCTGATCAGTCCTTTCAGTTTTTTCAGGTTCTCAACGCCTTGATTTTTATATAACTCGAAAGCACACCTTTTTCAGAATTGGCTTTTTAGCGGAATGTCCCTTACTCAGCATGGCGTAACAGGGCTTTGTTGTCTGACTCCTTCTTTGGCTTTACTTGTTTTGCTAGTTGAAGATATCTCAAAACTTTTTTTTTGCCTTTGAGTTCTTTCTCCATACTCACTTCGTGTCCGTATATTGCAGGCATGTCGGTGACACTGTGATGTATGTGACAATTATAATGTTGTAAGTTCTTGTCATAACTTGTGTGGTATCTGTCTTTCCCCTCTCCCCCCTCCCTGTTTTCCCATCCTCTATTGCCCTACCTGGCCCTGCAGAAAAGCAGTCCAGAGGAGCGTGAGAGAATGATTAAACAACTTAAAGAAGAGTTACGGTTAGAAGAAGCAAAACTCGTTTTATTGAAAAAGTTACGGCAAAGTCAAATCCAGAAGGAGACCACTACTCAGAAGGTATTTATTCTCCTACAGATACTTAATCATCTCTTGAAATGAAGGGGGAAAATTTTGAAGTAACTCTGGCAGTTGCCATAACCTGTGGAACATGAGATAGCTTTCAAATAAAGCATATCTCACTTTTCATAAAATGTTTATGAAGTTCATAGTGGTTTATCCCATTAATTTTTTTTTTTTTTTTTTTCTTTTTTTTTTTCTGTCTTGCCAAGACCAAACAGCAAGACAGCTCATCCTATCAACCGTATTCAAAAGCCAAAGACCTTTTTGTTAACTCAGATGCATTTATGACGGTAACATGCTTCCAATTATTTGTCCAGTCCTTAATGCTATGTAGAGATTGCTGAAATACATTTGGAAATGTTTCTTGCACGTAGCAGATGTGCTGACAGGTAGAGTTAAAGCCTTTGAACCCCAGGCTCTGGGAGCTGGCGGCCGAGGGCTGCACTTTGTGCTGCATCTCAGAAGCCCAGGTCTGGATTCCAGCTCTGACCAAGTGAAGTAAGTCTGTGCTCAGCTGCACTCTTTCATCACCCAAAAATCCCAGGCGGCCCCTGGAAGGACCGGCTCAGCCCTCCCACCCTGAACTCCCTTCCCTTCCTCCTCTTTTCTCCCCGCCCCTCATCTCCCCCAGCCACATGCAATATCCAGAGTGCTGCCAGGAGAGTTGTTTTCATCAGCAACTAACCCAGCGAAAAGAAAAAAAACTACTTCTTTATCAGAGGGGTCACCCATTCTGCTCACTACGTGTGCCCTTCGTGCTGGCACTGAAGGGTAGAGCTGGAGGGTGGCAGGAGAAGTGCAGAGGAGGTTGGGAGGCGAGGGGGTGTGCGAACACCCCACGCTCTGCTGTCAAGGCACGGGTGAATTTTCAAGTATCTGTAACAATGGCAACTAAACAATTTTATTTTACAGCGTGTGATGCTGACTTGATGGATTTTTGTGATGGGGGCGATGCGTAGATCTGAGTGCACCTCACGGTGCAGGGGGACGTTCAGACAGCTCTCTTGGCTGGTTTGGGGGGTTTATCGGCGTCTTTCTCCTGGACTTCTGAGTGCTTCAGTAGATGGGATTAAAACTAATGCCGGTACCTGCATCACTCAACTCGCTGCTGAATGCTGAGTGATGAGCTCTGGATGTTTGAACTAACGAGGGTGAAATGGCATATCCTAAACTTCTTAATATCTGACGTCTTTTTCTGAAACTTTTTTTCACTTTTTGCACTATGCTTGAACCTAGTTAGTTGAGACTAGTAGTAATGGTGGCTAAGACCGAAGTGGGGCTCTAAGCTGAGACTGCTTAAATAGATTTCCAGATTGCTCTGCTTTTGGTGTACAGACTCTTATTTTCCTGGTGTAATCTTATCTATACTCACCTAATAATGTCTCCGTTTAACTACGCATGTTGAGACGCTCGGAGGAGGAAAGGGATGGGGGAGGGGGGGGAAAGCCAGTCTTTGAAGAGTCTCTTACTGAGAAGAGCAAGGACGTAAACGCTTTTATTCCCTTAGCTTCTGTAATTCTGCTTACCCCTTACACTCGTCTGCTTTCTTTCTGGTTTTTCCTCTTCCAGCCTGCTGGTTCCTCTGGGAGTGCTGTGGCCACCCCTCCGCCCTTGGTGCGGGGACCGCAGAGCGTTCCTGCTGGCAAGCCGTCCCTCCAGGTCAGTGGGGTGGGCCAGGCTGCCAGGTGTAGGGCACGGACCCCAGCAGAAGGTGCACAGTACAGGAAAGACAGTCCCATCACATTAATTGCTTGGAGCCAGGTGGAATTTTTTTTTTTTTTTAATTTATTTTTTTTTTAACTCCCGAAACCCCGCTATAAGCTTTTTAAGAACGATTGGGGTGGGAGATAAAAGTAGGATGTCATATGCAGATAACTCCCTTAAGCTTTTTTTTTCAGTGGCTGATCATCCTGATCCACTCTGCTGATAAACACATCCATGCTAGTGCTAACGACCTTTGGCCAAAGAGGATGCCATGGAGTTACATCATAGAAATGTTGTGGCAGCCTGTTGCCATACCCTCGAGAGACTTAATTGTGCCCTCAGTATGATTAAGAGCTGAGTGAATCATATGATTTTCTCTGTTGGCTTGGTGGCTGAATGGCACATGATGGTAGGAAAGATCTTGGTTCAGACTAAATTAAATGAAATGTTGGAAAGCCTTGGGGAAGAAGAAAAAGAAAAGGCAGAGGCAATTGACATCTGTCAACCTAATCCTCCTCTTGAGTCTAGTATCTTGTTTTGCTTTTGGATTTAAAACATTCCTGGTTATTTACCTGGGGTTAACTTGAAACAAATTTCAAAACTGCTTCCCCATAAAATGCTTCCACTTGGAAAATGGCAACTCTTCCTTTCAAAAGCCCCTGGAATGCTATACTCGATGGAAGGGGTAAATTTGCTATCTGTTTAGGAAACGTTCACAAAACCTAAAGCAATCTGTCAGTTGGAGTAATCTCTTCCTTGAGGCAAGTTGCCTTCACTGAAGACAGCACTTTCAGAGGAACTGGACCACGAGTTAAACCTTCAGCGATCAGACAGTGAAACTTCGGTTGGACAGAGCAGAGAGCTGGGAGCTAAGAATCCAGAATTGAAGTTATTCTGTCTAATTTGTGGTGTATGGGCAAATTAACCTCCACCTGCTTTTGCTTGACTGTCAAAACTACTAATTCCTGTGTGTAGGAGCTGAGTTAACGTTTGGTCTTCAGTTGAAAAGTGTGCCAGAGGGGGAGAAAACTTCCCACCTGCCTAAATACGTACGTGTGTACACGTGGTAACTCGTGAAAGTGGGAGCTTCAGTGGTTTTAGAGTCCTCATTCGCAGATAAGGGTCAGTTTGGGGCCTGTGTGAGGGAAGTGGCAAGACGTGCAAAGCCACACAAATAGGATGGAGAGGTTTGTTGCTCTCGAGCAGCAGGCGCTGCTCGGGCGCGTTTGCCAGGCCTTGGTGGGCTGCAGGGATCCAAGTGACCCCGGGCAGTGTGTCACCTTGTACAGTGGCACAAGAAACTTTGAGGATTTGATGCAGGCTGCAGCCCGAAAAGCATATTTGACAATTTTTCAAACTGCTTTAGCTTGATTCATTTTTTTTAATTATTTTTTTCTAAAGCTTTCCCTTTCTCCTGTCTCTTCTTTTTTTCCTTCCCACGTCCATGCACATGCCTGGCCCATTCACATGGTCCATTCACCTCCCCAATTCCTGCATCCCCACCGTCTGTCTGCCCCGTGCTTCTCCTTGAAGACAACAGTTTGTACTTCCCCATTCTCTTACTCCCGCCCTCAAAATACACTTCTTTTTTTTTTTTTAAGTTTGTTTGTTTGGACACTAACTGCACCTCAGCCAGCCCTGCCATCCCTTGTCCTTCAGTATCTCCCCTGGCTCAGGACAGACACTGCATCCCTGCTCTCCCCCCCCCCCGGGTTCTGGTGTGCCTCTTGCTGCCTCTCAGTGCAGCAGTTCTTGAGCTATTGTATTCTGGCGGTGGGAGGGCAGATGAAAACATTGTTCAAGGCTGCTCTTTACCTTTTGAATTCTGTGCAGGATGAGAGAGAACAATCCCTGAGCGCGTAGCCAGGCCGGCATCGCGTACGTGTCTGTGTTGCTGCCTGAGATCTCGGGTGCTGCTTTAGTGGCACACTGAGCAGCAGAGAGCATGCCTGTAAACACACCAGAATAAAACAACACGAGTAAACGATTTTCTGTTTTGCAGACCTCTTCTACACGTATACCAGGCACTGTTATTCCTCCTCCCTTGGTCCGTGGAGGGCAGCAGACTTCTTCAAAATTAGGAACTCAGCAAAACACGCAGATAGTAATGCCACCTCTTGTCAGAGGAGCACAGGTAAGTATTTACCTTGGGGTAGGTCCTCTGGTTTTCCTTAACGATTTCCTTAGTCATCATCTTTCTGCTTCTCTGGAGGGAACCTGTGATGTTCTTGCTGGAATTTCTTAATGTGGCTTGGTGTATTGCTGCTGAAAGATCCTGCATCGTGCCAGTTCTGTGTGTTGTGCTGTCCCACAACGCTTGCAGCGAGGGATGAGCAAATCCTGTGGCGATGCAGGACACTGCCTGACCTGCAGAGCTGCCTCCCCTACCTGCACCAAAGCAGTTTGTTTGCCTTTATTATGAAAGTTAATTTACAGGCGTCCAACTTCACCCACTTTTTAGGAGAGTGGCAGCAGAGGAAATGAAACACAATCCCTCGTTCTACCATATTTTTTTTTCCCCTCATTATTCTTTCTGTCATATCAATTTGACCTTTTCAGATGCTGAAACTCGAGGGGTTTTTTTCCTCATTGTGTCTGTCTTGTGATTGAATAAGAGCTGCTGAAATGAGATAGTTGACTGGAAGTCTGAAAGTGCTGCTTTTGCAGGGTCTTTATCACCTATAACAGAAAATAGTGATGTCACTGAAGGAGTAGGAAAGCAGTGTTCAGTTTGATACAATCTTCTAAAACGATTTCCATGGGATACCAGGAAAAAAAAAATATTTCCTTGTTAAATGAGGATTTATTTTGCAGTGAAAGGTCTGCTTTTATCTGTTGCACAGCCAGCATTAAGGAGGAAGGTAGAGATTTGGTATTTCATTTTCTTTCTCTTCTGATTATGGAGAAAAATTCATTCTGAGAAGCAGCTTTCCTAATGCCTTTAAAATGAAACAGGCTTAAAAACTGTACGTTTTGAAAGAAATTTGACTTGGAAACTTAGGGTTTTGGTGCAGCTGTTTTGGCCGTAATGTGATGGCCTCACATGGCAGCATCTCTCTCCACGTTGCGTCCTACTTGTTTCACTTTGACAGAGGGAAAGGGAAAACCATCCCACTTTGACACGGGTGTTAATTATCAACGCTTTCTTTGCGTTCCCTGCCTTGCCTCACCTCCACTGTCTCGTGTCATCCCATTTGACTCCCACCACTTACCTCCCGCTCTCTTAATCCTCCCCATCGCTCATGGCACCATCGCATCAGCCCATTTCTGTGTCTTCCCAGCAAATCCACAACATCCGACAGCACTCCAGCACGGGGCCGCCTCCGCTGCTGCTGGCACCGCGGGCGTCTGTCCCCAGCGTGCAGATTCAGGGGCAGCGAATCATCCAGCAGGGTCTGATCCGCGTCGCCAACGTCCCCAACACCAGCCTGCTCGTCAACATCCCGCAGGTGAGTTCCATAAAAACAACATGCCGAACGTACCACTCATCTCGCAGGAAGGGATAAATGGTTTTAATTACTGATTGTCCGGGTCCCGTATCGAATTGGCGTGGTCACCTAACCGACGTGGTTGCTGCTCCTTGTTCTTCCCGTGTGGTCCCTTCTCTGTTCACGTTCACCCCCCGTATGTAGGAATGAAGAAAAACATTAGAGAATATTGGAAAGAAATCTCTTATTTCCGTGAACTGAGTTTTGTGCCTCATTTCACATTTGGTATTTCAGTATGAAGCTGTCCATTAGGATTTTTTTTTTCTCCTCCCTTAAGAAGTGTAAATAAGTTTTCTAGTAAACAGAGCTGAAAATGGGGTAGTGCTGCTGTCTGAAGCACTGAGAGATGCAGAAGCAGCAGCTAACAGCAGTCTGACACTGATACTGCCATACAAGTGCTGTAGATAAAGGAAACAATTTAAAGTCAGTGCTTTGACAAAATCATAAGGAAGAGGACACCTTTTTGTTTTTCTCTTCAGAATTTCTAAAACTGCTTTATAAAAACGATCCGTAAAGTGAAGCTCTTCAGAAAAAGAATGAGTGTGTTAGGTGACAGATCATGTTTGTAATGGGAGGTACAATGTCAGTAAACGTGTGTGTTGTGATTTGTTCAGCCACAAGTAAGGTTTAGAAACAGGTGCTTGGCCTAGTCCTGTGCCCTCCCCTCCCTCCTGCCCCAGCAGCATTTGTCCTGAGCTGGGTCCTGTGTCCCCCCCCAGGCTTCACCAACTTCCATCAAAGGTACAACTGTGACGTCAGCTCAGGCCAACGCCACGACGACCAGCGCCGCTTCCATTGTCAACTCCAGTGAGTCACCGGCCAGCCGGCAAGCAGCCGCCAAGCTCGCCCTGCGGAAGCAGCTGGAGAAGACGCTGTTGGAGATCCCCCCTCCCAAGCCACCCGCGCCGGAGATGAACTTCCTGCCAAGTGCAGCTAATAACGAATTTATTTACTTAGTCGGGTTGGAAGAAGTTGTGCAGAATTTGCTGGAAACTCAAGGTGAGATGGCGTTAAAAATGTTCCTCAAAGGTGAGGGGAGGATCTTTCCCATCCGGACTTCACCTCACTGCTAGTAGTCAGCGATAGTTTTCAGGCATCACATGATTAAATTGTCACACTCTGTCAAATCTAAGCTTCACTTCCTTTAATAATTTTCAAACTGTTTTATTTAAAATTGTAAAAAATGTCTAAAAAAGAAAATCTAAAAAAGGGAAAGTAATGATTTCTCATAGGCTAGACATTGATTGTAAAGATTTCTGTAAGTACTCCCCAGATCTGTTTGTTCCTGACAGCCACATGTTTGTCCATCACCCCTAAATTCTCAAACCAGTATCTAAAGATCTGCAGGTTACCTGCACCCTCACTCCCAGAAGTAAAGATTTAGCAATGCAAAAGGCTTCAGGCTGGGGAGAGTTACGGGCGGAGGGTTCACCTTGTGTGTTGGTTTGTTGGGTTTTTTTTTATGCTGGCATATTTTTGAGGTTTCTCGAGTGTTGCTCATTCCTAGAAGCTGCAGATGGAGCTGAGCTAAGCTGGTTGTGTTCTCCAGGTAAAGTTTCGGTTGCTGTATCCTCTCGTGAGCCCTATATGTGTGCTCAGTGTAAGACTGACTTCACCTGCCGCTGGAGGGAGGAGAAGAACGGAACCATTATGTGTGAAACCTGCATGACATCGAATCAGAAAAAGGCCTTGAAAGCTGAGCACACTAACCGGCTGAAGGCTGCCTTCGTCAAAGCACTGCAGCAGGAGCAGGAGATCGAGCAGAGGATACTGCAGCAGACAGCATCTCCTGTCCAGACCAAGGCAGACCCCATCGTGCAGCACCACTCGCTCAAGCAGGTGAGGCCCCCCCCGCCAGGAGCCAGGTCTTGGGGATGATGGGGCCGGGGTCCTGCGGCTCCAAGCACACGGGTGTTGGCTGCACAGGCACGGCACTGCTGCCTGAGCTTTGCTTTATTGCAGCTCCCCGGTGGGTGTGTCTGGAGTGTGAGCCTAAAACCAGGCTGGTGAAAAGGGGGTTTTGTCATGGGGGAGGGACCTGGGACTTGAATTATCTCAGTACCTGAAGAACAGGAGAGTGCTGGCTTTTTGTAGGGTCACTGGAATTACCCATGGTGTTGAATTTATATCCTGCAAAGTCTGTTCCTGAAATTTTCTCGGATGTACCAAGTGGAAATAGGTACCACTATTTGGTATTTCTTTTGGCTCCAGTGCCAAAGACACAAGAGTGAATTGACCTAAGATAGATAAAGTTGCTTGTGAAGTTTTGAGGTGATGGCAGCAGCCATTCCTGGTAGTGACTGGGTCTCACACCTTGTAAAACCACTGTTGAGTCGGAGGAAGAGAGAAGCTGCCTCTAAGTGCTGCTTGGAGTTGAAATCCTCAAGGTACTGGTTATTTAGGACAGGGAAGCAGCGTCGCCTGTGTAGGGAGGTGCTTACGCTGCACATATTTTGCTGCTTTGCAGTTGATGATTCCTCAACCTTAAGGTGCTCTCAGAAGTAGAAAGCTGGTTCTTGGTAGGAGAGATGGCTTGGCAAGTTTTCAGCCCCAAAAACTACAGTAACACATTCCAGACTTGGCAGAAGAAGCTGAGAAAGGCCGGAGGGGCGGTAAAGATCCATCAGGGCTCTTGTACTTGAGAGACAGACAACTGCTCTATAGGCCTGTCTTCCCGTTTGCTCTCTTGGCAGACTTCTAGCCAGATGTCTCGAGGTCCTCCTGGAGCTCCACGAGGAGTGTTGCATGCATTTAGCCAGTCACCCAAGTTGCAGAATGCATCGTCTGCAGCAGCACTTGGGAGTAGGCCAGGTAAGCATGCTGAGAGACCTGTCAGCAAGGGCAGCGCTGCCGCCTGGAAGAAGACTCCCATCAATACAGGTAGATTTTTCTCTAAAGTTTCTTTTATTTGTACTTAGTAGCTGCACTCTGTCCAACAATCATAGTTCTTTGGGTAAGGATGCTTTCTCTTTGACACTTCCTGCATGAAAGCCTGGTGATAACCCAGGCTTTGCTCTTAGTATCGTTGTTGGCACTTGCTTTTGGGGTGGTTGATGCTCGTCAGAAGGGGCAGTCAGGGGGTGCTACCAAATAAAAAACTACTGCTTTGCACATTTCTAAGTAAACCAAATAGATGGGATGCCAGACTCTTCGTCGTTGAGCCCGTATGCACAGAGTTGGTCATTTGTTTCGGGGAGTTTAATTCAGTTTAATTTTGACTGGTGTTTTCTCTTTGCTGAAAGCAACGTAACAGCCAGTAGATGGGTTTGCTCTAGGTAAGGCACCAGCGTTCCTCAGGGTCTGAAATAACTAAAGCTGTTGCTTTGAACAAATGTAAATTATAAATTCTAATCTAATCTTGTAAATTATAAATTCTAATCTAATCTTTTTATATATATAAATATAAGAATCTGACTTGAGTAATTTGTTTTCTTAAATGATAATTAGGATCTCCAGGAAGGAAACACTGTAGCAACTAGCTCTTTTGTCATCTGCTTTCTCACCCAGTGTTGAATGGATTTCTTTTTTTTTTTTTTTTAAATTCCTGACAGCGTAATTTATCCATTTAAAACATCATTTCATTGCAGAGAGCTCTAGCCTGCTCAGATCTTCATTTCTGGTACAAAATCTTGCTCCTGTTTGTTTGGATGATTTTTGGAAGCTTTCATCTTCTGAAGGTGTCTGAGCTTCGTGGCCAGCAGTGGCCCGTGCTCAGCTGAGCTCTTTTCATGTGGATGAAATGTGGTTTTGCCACTCTTATGCCTCATGTTTGTATCCTACGGTGACACTTGTTCTCTCTTCTCTTTTTATATCTCGTCAGGTGGGGCTTTACCTTTTGTTAATCCTAGTTTAGCTGTGCACAAGTCGTCTTCAGCAGTAGACCGCCAGCGTGAATATCTCCTGGATATGATTCCCCCACGGTCCATCCCACAGTCCGCCACATGGAAATAGTGCAGAGGAATGCCCAAGAGGAAGACTTTCCTGTTTCTGCCATCCTTTTTATACCACATTACAGTGGAATCTGCTTTAATCCCAGCTGGATATGCCCCAGGCTTTATAGGATGCAAGAAGACCACTCCTCATCCCATCGAGTGCTGCTGTCCCTGCTATGAGAAAATGACACCACGTGGGTGGGAAAGACTTAAGCTCATTTGGTTCTCAGATTCTGATGATTGACTGATGATGAAGGCTGTCAGGGAAGGGGAAGAATTCTCTCTCTTTTTTTTTTTTTTTTTTTTTTTTTTTTTTGGCTTTATGTATTTAGTTTGGATTTTTTTGTCACCAGCACAAAAAAAGGATTGAACAACTCTCTGCCTTCAGTTTCTTTCTTAGTCACTCACTACCCCTTCACCAGGAACATGGTGTTCGTTGGCCATTGAGCATGGACGTCAGCTCAAGGAGAGAGGAATTTCAACCCAATCTTGCAGATGCATTTAGTGAGCCAAGTTCATGTTTGCTTTTCTTCCCTGCCCCTCCTCCAGCCAGGAAGGCAGTCTACAGGTTATAATGTTTCACAAAATCTTCTGGTGATGAGCTAATGATAAATAAGTACAAACTCAAATTCCGGTTGAGTATGTTTTGGGGTTTGTTTCTTTTTTTTTTTTTTTATTCTAAGGGACTGGCTGCCACCAAAAACTTGTCTGGTAGGTGGGAACCAGTGCAGGAGTCTCTCACTTTTGTTGGATTCTGTTTTGAATAGACTTTGAACTGTTGGTAGTCTAAAAATCTAATTTACTGAATAGACAAACACCGTTGTTCAGTCTTTCTAATTCAGCGAAGAGCAGTTGGGCCTTTCATATGTTCCCAGAGACTTTAAAGTGAAACTGTTTTTGATTATTTTCTTTTTGGAGGTTTTTTTTTGTTGTTGTTGTTGTTTTGAGCAATTTTACTCAAAAAAAAATTTAAAAAAAGAAAAAAAAAAAGAAAAGGAAAAAACAAACAAAAAAAAAAAGGAATTCCAGAAGCTGCACGCAATCAGAAAGGGCGAGTGGAGGGCGCAGAGGAGCAGGGGGGGGCTGCTGTCAGGTCGCAGGCTCCTTCTGCTGCCGATACCCGCCGAGAAGTGGCCGGTGGTGGCCCCTGCTGAGGTGGCCCAGTGGCCGTGCCAGCGCGTGGTGGGCACGCTGGGGGCAGGACTGCCTACCTTGATCCCTCTAGAGCTCCGTTCTTCCAGGCGTACCGAGCATGCTCCTCTGTCCATCACTTCAGTATTTCATTTTTGATAGAGCTTTAGGTAACCCTGCTTTAAGGACAGGTTTCTACGTGGTTTTAATATATTTTGGGGATTCCACAGGTTAAACCCAAATCCATCAGATCTAGGTTTGCTTCTTTTTTTTTTTTTTTTTTTTTTTTTTTTTTTTTTTTTTTTTTTTTTCCTTCTCGTCATCTTCCCTCCTCCTTCCCTGTGTTTCTCCCAAATTAAAGATTAATTCAAGTGGCAGAAATACATGCCTTACTACTTATGTTGCATATCAGTACTAGAAGTAGTGCTGATAAGAATTATTTGCAAAATTATATATATATATATCTATATATCTATATATAAAAGAAAAGGGGGGAGGGGTTACTATTCAGTCTATGCTGACTCTATTTTCTTAGCAGTTGCTGTTAGATCTAACTTTAAACCAATAACTGTATAGGGTTGTCCCCCTTCAGATCTAACTATTGCATAGTGAAAAAGAAAACCCGTTCATTTTAGCCCCTCTTCTGTTGTGTGAATATCAGTATTTAGATACTTTGAAAACTGTTCAGTAGTCTAGAAAACCTAGTTTTGCAAAATGGTATTTGTTGCTGTATAAAGCCCTAGAATTTCAATTTGACTTTGTTTTTTTTGTTTGTTTGACAAATGTATATTAAGAGCTAAACGGGAATGAGATTAATTGGGTTTGAGTTTTTAATTTTTTTCTTTTCATTCCAAGAGATTTTTGGATTGGGAGATGTGGAGGGAGGAATTTGAGTGCATTTTATTTTTGCACCTTGAAATATTAAGAAAAAGTTTCAGCTCCTTACCTGTGTGGAGTTTTTTTGTTTGTTTTGTTGGGTTTTTTTTTTCTCTCTTCTGACATATTGCCTGCATTATCTCACCATTGATGCAGATGTCTAGCGATGTTAAATCTCCTGGGAAGAGTGCATTTGTTTAAAAAGAACAAGCAAAACTTCTCAAACTAAAATTCAGACGCCTTTTTGGGAAGGCTGGGCGACTTCACAATTTCCTTCCAGCGTTGGAGGTAGCTTCAGCTTCAGCTGATGCTCAGGGGGGAGGAAAAAAAAAAAAAAAGGAATGGAAAGAGGGGCAGAAGTATTAAACTTGCCTGTTTTAAAAGCTATGTCAAAACCTTTTTGGATACCCCTGGTTCAGTACAGCAGCTTGTAAATTCTCGTTTCAACACAATGGATGGGGGAGACTTAAAATAAGCCTTAAAAATAATTGAGAAGACTTAAGATTTGGTACTAAAAAGTGAGTCTGCACAATACTTAGAAAAGTTGCTCCCTCAGCAATGCTAGACCACAGTCTGCTTTCATTTCACGTAGAATAAAACCCCACAAATACCATCTTACGTATTGGGGCAGAATTGTTTTTGAAGGCTGGGTGAGTGAACAGAAAACATCACGCGGATATTAGGCTGTTGGGATTCAAACCAGTTTTGACATCGTTTTTAATCTGTGGTTCTTGGAGTGTTGCACGTAAGGTTAGAGGATCTATTTATTGCATATGTGTTTCTGCAGAGTTTTAGCTAAATGCACCAGGAAACGACTTAAGTTGTATACATGTGTTAAATGCCAGAAGAATTTGCTTCTTCCTTTGTAGTCAAAACTGCATATTCAGTTGGGTAGGGTTGAACTGGGCTAGTTAAGGCACCATGCTAGGTTTAGGTAGTTGTTCAAACACTTGTTACAGTTTTTCCAGATCTCCTCCTCCCCATCTGTGTGTTTCCCCTTCTTGCAGAAAAAAAAAAAAAAAAAAAAAAAAAA